CCAACACTGGCCCAATGTCAGCCAAAGCTTGGGTTTTGTCTGTTGGGCCAATGTTGGATTGGCAATGTGGGTTTAAAGGTGGCTCAAAATCTGCCAGTCCAGGTGGCCCAATGTGGCCCAGTGGGTCTTTAGCATAAAGCTTGGTGTTACAATCTTAAAAAATGTAGTAAATAAATTGAACCAAGCACACAAAGACTCATGTTGGAAAAAGAGTTTGGCATTGGTGCACTTTTAGGTAAAAATTTACAAAGAATTTTTAAATGAATGGAAAATATAAGTTTGAAAACCTCCTTCGAGTTCATATCAGTTTTGATGGCTTGTACACAAACAATATGCTGATATGTGTTTAATATGTGACTGTATTTCCATTGGACCAGAGTTATGACCAGATTTGTGTCCTAGAAACGTCCAGGCTTGGGACCAGCACTGAGAGTGCACCGTTGCATGCAACCCCAGTGGCTGGGGTTGGTTCCCTAACCAGGAATCAAACGCAGGCTGTAGCGGTGAGAGTGCTATGGCCTAACCACTAGTCCTCCAGAGACCAGATATAACCAAATTTGAAATGCAAAAATAAAAAGAAACCTACAAACCCCTCCTGTAAGCCACTAGCTGGCTATCATAAGTTCTCTTGCTAAACAACTTTGCAACTGGGTAACAATGCAAATTCCACAATGAGGATAAAACAGCTGAACCATTCAATAGGTTCCCAGCAAATAAATGCTTTACTTGTTTAGCTAAGACTGCATAAGCTCTGAATCCTTTCTCCACTTTTCTATTTTGTTTACTCTCTCTCTCTCTCTCTCTCTCTCTCTCTCTTTCTCTCTCTCTCTGTGCAGAGAACAGCTGAATATAAGCTAAAACCTCAGATTTGTACATTTCATACTTAGCTGCTGGATCAATTTAACATATTACACTCCAGGGTCTAATAAATGAAATGAAACAGTTGAAATTGCATGCTGTTGTGTTTTAATGACTCACGCTTAGTTCTGGTGCTTGTTTTCAGCACTACGTAAATGCGTGGTGAGCTGAGAGATACTGTTGGTCCATGCAATTTTTTTTTTTTTTTTGCAATATATCTGTGATTGTGCCTCATTGTTTCCCTGAGCAGTGGCTGATACAGAAGCCACTGTTTGACCCCTTGGTGCAGGAAATGTATGAGCTGTTGCATTGCAAAGTTTTCTGTCTGGTTTATGTTTTATTCCCTATTGTCTCTCTTCTTATTAATGGCATCCATGAAAGTTCCAAGCCATTTTTATGAGCACTGAAATGTATCTTGTATGGCCCTTGTGAGACAAGCCGATTATGCTGTGGTGCTAGTCTACAGAACTGTGTATGTGTGTGATGGGAATATATTACATTTGCTCATGTAGCATTCAATGCAGCAAAGAAAGTAGAAATCTTGAATGTCAGATAAATAACACAATATAAATCAGCCTGTAGGGAAATAGGACAATGCTATCTCTTATCCTCCTAGCGGAAGTGACTGGAGAAGCGCTAGTGGGGAAGAAGAAACTCATACTATGTATATATATATATATAT